TCCGGGGGGTGTGGGTCTTTTTGCGGGCGGGTTCTCGGGGGGGGGGGGGGGAGGGGGGGGGCGACTGCCATGGTCGCAACACGCTGCGTCGAGTAGCTCTCTCTCTCTCTCTCTCTCTCTCTCTCTCTCTCTCTCTCTCTCTCTCTCTCTCTCTCTTTCTCTCTCTCTCTCTCTCTTTCTGTGTGTCGGTCTCTGTCTCCCACCCCCGCTCTCTCTCGTCTTGCTGATGCTTACTCGAGGCATCTCCAAGAGCACGAGCTCGCCCTCCGCCTGCCCGAAGATGGGCTTGTGCACCCTCGCCGTAAGCACCACCTTCTTTCCCCCCGGGAGGACAACCCACACCGCCTTGTGGTAGAACCAGCCCCTTTTTTTTGGTTGATTGGTTGTTTGGTGGCGATTGGACAGGCACGCGAGGGCGTCGCGCGAGCGACGGGGGCGAGCAGGGACCAGGGAAGAGCGCACGGTGAGAGACAGATAAATGGGGGGTTGTTTAGGGGCGGCGGTTTTACCCGGCGGTGGGAGCGTGAAAGCAGTTGCATATATTTCGACGCGGGCGCGGTCAAGGAGGCAGCGACCAGGGAAAGGGGCATTGAGGTGACACAATCACGCCTGAGCGTCGTAACCCGACTAGTCTTCTAATCGCAATAAAGGGAGGGCAAATACTTGCGACATAGGAAATGAGAGCGGTAACACCTACGACCGCATCAGGCGACGGTGGACGAGGCCGTGAGCGCGCGATTTCACCAAGAACTGCCAGGGCAATCGATGAGGGTGCTGACGAGAAAAAACAGTAGGTCAAACAAGCTGACACGATGACCATTGCGACACAGTCGGTTTGGCGGTGGACATACTACAACCGCATATTGAGTTTTTTTGTGTAGCTTTTAGGCTACCCCGGCTTCCTGCTCGCCTTCAAGAATCAACCCACGAATAAACCAATGCCGCACGACATAACCAGCAGTGCACTCAGCCCCAACCGTACCACCCTTCCCCTTCTACCTCACACCCCTTACGCGTAGCCAGGACACGTGCCCCGCCTCACCTCTTCGGGTTCGTCAGTCGCACAATCCTATCCTCCGGGGGGATGCTACCCGCAGCAGCAGCGGCACCTGCCCCGGCCTTGCCTTCCGCTCGAGACTCCCCGCCACGAGCAGCGCCATCGACCCCCAAGCCGGCGGCGGCGGTGGCACGCCGTTCCTCCGCGGCCGCGGGGACGACGAGGTACACCCCCCCGTCCGCCTTACCGGGCACCAGGAACCCGTCGGCGATGAGCACCGCATCCCCGTCCTCGGGCGGCAACGGGCCGTCCCACCCCGGCAACGTCGGCGGCGGCGGCGGCGACTGCGTCGAAGCAGACGTGCCGGCGGCGTTGCGTCCGTCTTGCAGCAGCGAGGGCTCCGCCGTGTTCGGGGGCGCCTGCGGCGCCCCTCCTGCTCCCGCTCCCGTCACCGGCAGCGGTAGCGCCGCCGCCTCCGTTTCTCGCCTCAGGCGGGGAGGGCGGTCGCCGTCGCTAAACTTGTCGCTCTCGAGGCGAAGGAGGCTGAACTGCTGGCTCTCGAAGCGCAGGGGCTGCTGAACGTGGGCGCCGCCTCCCGCGCTCCCGTTCGTTTCGCCGCTGCCGGCAAGGCTGTCTCCTCCGCCTTCTTTCGCCCTCGATGCTGAGATATCCTGCCGTTGCTTGTTGCTGCTGCTGCTGCTGCTGCTGCTGCCGTTTCGTGTCGCCAGGTACTTTAACTCTGCTTCTCTGCCCTGCGTCAACCGGACAAAAGCTTCGGCGGGTACCTGGTGGAGATAGCAGCAGAGCAGCACGATGATGCGGAAAGGAGGAAACAAAGAAGGGGCGCTTCAAAACGCTTCGACGACGACATTAAACAACAACCCCACAACTCGGCAGGAAAACGAACTGCGACAATAAAGACACTACTTTAACTGCTATAGCACATCCTCTTTGACTGAGGATATATCTAGTATTTCTGCGATTTATATTTCCAAAAGAGAAATCGAACCCTTCCCTCAACGGACAAAGGCCCACCCCCACCGGTTGCTCGACCAGCAGTGACCGACCGTACGAGGCTCCACGAAAAAAACAGCCCGCATCACCAACCTGGTTAACCTCGTTCGGCCAAAGCAGGGGCCCCGCCCACGTCCCCGTGAGTCTCGGTTGCATGCGACGCGACAACACCCCCCCCCCAACCGCCGCCGCTGCCGCTGCAGCGCTCCGGCTAACTGCTCCCTCCAGTCTCGCAAAAATGCGGGGCAATTGCGGCGGCGGGTCGAGGTCCACTCGTGACACAGCTCCGCCGCGGGTGAAGCCGAACTGGGACACGAGGAGGGTATCAGACCTACCGTTTCGACCCTCCTGTACCTAGGGCGTTGGTTGGACACACCCAGTCGAACGACGTCAGGGGGGGGGGGGGGGGGGTACTCAGGGTTTTGCGGGCCTTAACTGGTAGACCATTAAAAACGCGTCCTCGAGAGGACGGAGCGTTGTTCCCATAGCGCTGATCACCAATGGCCAATCGTTATGGGGGAGGGGGCAGAGTGCGGACAGAATGGGCTCAACAACCGACACTGGGAGGGGGAAGCGGGTGCATCCTCATCCTCAACACACCGGAATGTCGCAGGTGCAATGCTGGCGGTTCGTCCAACGTATGGGTTTCCTTGTTGACAGTCGCCGCTTTTTTTATTTGTCATGCTTTTTCGTTGGCGAGTTCGAGTACGGGCCTGTACAGGGAGTCTTAACTAGATATTCCAAGGCGGGCGAAAGCCGGGGAAAACTTCACCGAAGCACCAACCGGCCAGTCGCAGTGCGGTCACGAGAGCGAAGCAGCCACTGGGTGGGTGTAAGGGATCGTCGCAAACGTGCACCGCGGCATGCATGTTGTGATTCGACGATGTGTCTGCCGTCTCTCAACAAAAAACAAAGAAACGCAAAAAAGAACACGTGCATGGTGTGCAACACGGGAACACACCTGCAGGTAGGCAGGCTTATCGATGTTCATCTCGCCAACCAGGCGAATAGCGTCTCCGCGACGCCGACTAACCAAACCACCTCCGTCCGTACCCCCGCTTTCCCCCGAAGCTGCTGCTGCTTCGTCCATTTGCTGCGCCCCTCCCCCACTGCTGCTGCTACTGCTACTCCCTCTGCGCGTATCTCTCGCTCCTTCGCCGGCACCGTCACCCCCCTCTTCTCGCCCAAACCCTCCCCCATCCATCGCTGCGGCCGAAACATTCGCGAGCCGCAAACTCCTACTCGTACTGCTGCTGCTGCTGCGGCGGCTGCTGGCGGCCGCTACTTCATCGTCCATCCGGCCTACGCCGGCGGCGGCGGTGTACTTTTTCCCTCGATAGGAACGGGATTGCTTGCCGTCGACAAAGACTATGGATCTCCGCTCCACGCGCGGGAACAGCTGAATGTTGCAGGGGAGAGTCGTCGCCTAACAGGGGGGGGGGGGGGGCCGTCGTTGATTAGCATCTGCTGTTTTTCATGTCGGGGTTGGATGCATGCCGACAGCACCCGTATGGCATGCCGATTACCGCATCGTAGGTATGTAGGTGTATTGAGTCACGAGTCTCTGATGGCAGGAGCTCTGTCCGCGCATTAACTACCACATACTTCATGCCTCGTCAGAAGGTATTTCTCTTGAGAAGGTTTTAGAAGGTGTTTCGGACAGACAGTTGTGGTCCATGGTCGCTCGCACAGCAGCAGGGTGAGTGGAAATGTTCGTTGTTGACTTCTTCAGGAAAACATGCATTCGTCTCTCCAATCCGGAATTGGGAACTGAGCCCGCAGGGTGCCCATGGGCACATCCTGCTGCTTGTTCCTTCCTACGTAGAATAAGTAGCAGTTCTACTGCTGTAGTTATCCCTACTGCTGCACTAACAACGTACAGTACATGCCAATTCATCTGCACATTGTAACTCAGTCAGTCCAAAAAAAACTCTCTCACCTGGTGCAAATCGGCGAACTCGAAGGGCACGTCCTCGCCTGGATCCTCAAGCCAGGTTGATTCGAGCTCCCTCCGCCGCCGGCGGGATGCGGCGGTCAAGGACAAATCCTCTTCCTCCGGCCGCCGCCACGGCCGCCGCCTCCGCCGCTGTGCCGGCCGAGCAACGCGGTCATCGATATGACCTTCCACGTCGTCGCCATCTCGACTACTAGAATCAAGTTGGAGCGATGAACCTGACGTGCGAACGGGAGAAGAACATGCGCCTCTCTCGACGGCAGAGCAGCTCAGCAGCGGTTCTGGCCTCATCGGACCGCATCGTCGACTGGGCCGCCGCAGTTGGCTGCCGCCGCTGCTCCTGCTGCTGCTTGAAAGTGTTGTTCCTGCAGAGCTCATCGGAAGCGGCAAGTATTCACACCGTCGCCTCCGCCTGCTGCTATCAGACCGCCCTCTCAAGGACATGTCACCGTGCTGCAGCAAGGCAAACGCGCCTCGGCACTGCTGCTGCCTGCCTCCTAAGCCTGTTTCCGGAGCGGAACCGCCGCCGCCGCCGCAGCTGCTCCTGCTGGCTTCGCCAGCGTCAGGTCTTCCTGTCAGCAGAGCTCCGATAGCAGCCAGCGCGGCTGTGGTACTCGGTAACCTTCTCTTCCTCCTCCTGCCGCTGAACCCTATCGACAAGCCGCAGCTCGTACAGCCACCGCCGCTTTCTCGGCAGCTCGATGCCGTCCTACTTGATGCCATCCTACATGCAAGTGAGGTGGGTTGCCGCTGCTGCTGCTGCTGACGACGACGGGAGACAGAGCGGTGCCTCACTGCAATGATGCACGGCAAGTGCACGGCAGCGTGGTAGTAGCAGTGACGCCAGCAGAGTGGAGCGCGGCCAATCACACCACGCCCACGTACCACTGATGTCGACCTCTGTCTCGTCCTTGGTGTCCAACCTACTCACGCCGCTACACACACACACACACGCACAACAAGGAGGCAGCAGCACGGCAGTGGTGGTCACCTTGACCTTGAACCGAACCTCATGTGCAGAGGCCCCGCGATTGTACGAACGGAACCGGGGTACAGCAGTCCTGGATGCTTCCTGCATGACGCGGAGCCTCGGATCCGAGAAAAATGAACAGCACTGCGGATGCTCACACTGCACTGTACACCAAACACCACCGACCACTGCATATTGTAAGGTGCACCACTCAAGAGCACTCAAGAGCGCCCCATGGACAATCCCCTGGCTGGAGGCGATCGGGCCGAGGGGGCTGCCGGGCATGAAGGCGGAAGGAACAATCTCTCGGCAAGTTGTACCTCCACTTCCGCAGGAGACAATGCGGCATCATCGCCGACGGCCAGGCCGCCCCCGACAGCGCCACAGCCCCCGGTAGCTGGCGCCGGCGTTGCTGCCGCCGGCAGCAGCGTTGACGCTAGTCGCCCCCCGTCCTCTCCTGGGCAGGCGCTGCGTTCTCTTCCTGCTGGCTCCACCAGGCTGTTGCTGCCTATTGGCCCGCAGCGGCAGCAACGTCAACATGCCCGGCGCAGCGACGAGACCACGACGGCCGCTCCCGCTGCTGCTGGCGCTTCGAAGAAACGCCCGTCAAGACCTGCAGCACGCCTGCGCCGCCTGCCCCCCCCTCCCCCATGCTCCTCGATACACACCCTGTTGCGAGAGCGCCAGCGACGCGGCGCAGGTAGGTTCCTGACGAGGGAAGGCCGTCGGAGCGTGTGCCCGCTCCACTATGCGTACGGCGGCAACCCTAACACCTTGCGCCGGCTGGAGCTGTCGGGAGAGCTCCGCGGGCACGACGGCTGCGTGAACACCGTGTCCTGCTCCCCCGATGGGAAGTACTGGATCAGCGGCAGCGACGACCTGAAGCTCATGGTATGAGTGCGCGTGCGTGTGTGATGAATTGTATTTGGTCGATTGGCAGCGCGGCGGCGGCCGCCGCACTTGTTCACATGGAACACCCAAGGGCACACGCAACATTGAGGTCGAGGTCGAGGCTCCATGTCCGAAACTCGTTGCCGCTACTGCTGTGTCAGGCAAAGGTTTGTAGAAGGAGTTTCATGTAGCTGTGTTTCTTAGCTAAACCTGCCATACTCGTACAACTTCGTGAAAAATTGAGCCTCTACTGCCGTACTTCTGGATGAGTGTTTCATGTCTGCGGGCCCTTTCTCTACAACGCACACGTGTACTGCTGTCGCTGCTGGTGTTGGTGCTCGCGTGCCTGGTTGTATGCGTATGTAACGCACATGCCAGGTATGTTTTAGGAACTCAACAAGAGGAACGAGGCCGAGATGCCACATTTTGGAGAATGGCGTCCATTGCCCCTGGGGTAGGCCACGGAGCCGTCGCACTTGGTTGGTTGTGTATCGCACCTCCGACCCTCTTCTCCGCATCGTTCCAACCACAAAACCCACTCCAACCCCCTTCTCCACTCAGCGATCTGCATTTACTAATGAATGGCGATCGATGTTGACCGGGAACACCCCCCCACACACACAGATCTGGGACTGCGAGAGCCACAAGCGCAAGACCAGCTTCCACAGCAGGCACCAAAACAACGTCTTCCAGGCACGCTTCCTCCCCTACACAGACAACGAAAAGGTACAGATACATAGTTGTCCTGCTGTACCCTATTTGATGCTCAGCGGCCAACGGGTTTGGTAGGCTGCATGCAGTCTAGAGGGCTTGTTTTTGTGGCGGCGACGGCGCGAGCAGAAAAAGTAGCTGGAACTGGAGTAACTGGAGTCGGTCCTTCCCTGGGTGTGATTGTGGCGCACCCGCGGAAAATGCCGAAAACCTAGAGGACGAACGTAAAGCTTGCGATAGAGCCGAGGGAGGTATAGGGCGAATGAAAAAAGCTACGTGGTGACCGAGCAGAACGTGCAGGGCGACCGAACAAGGTACAGGATGACGGAGCAATGAACAGGTTGACTGACCAAAAGTACCAGGACACCTTGAGCAGGGATACAGAGCTACAGCAGTAGGGCGCGAAGGTACAGGGCGACTGAGCAAAGGCACACAACTGGTGCGGCTGATCTGCCATGCCTGATGGAGGGATTGCAGCTGTGGTTGCTGTCTTGCTGTCTTACTGTCGTGTTGGACACGCTCCAAGAGGATGAAGCGCTCGGCGCTTGTGGTGCTCACTTTCTCGTGCATTTGTTGTTGTTGTCGTTGTTGTGCTTGTGCTTGCCGTACGTGGTCGTTGTTCCTGTTGTGGCTGCTGCAAGTTGTCGATGGTTTTTTGTTAGTGGTGGTGGCGGTGGTGACGTCCTTGGTGTTGGTGTGGTTGTTTTCGAAGCTATGTCGGCGATAAAAGGTCAGCGGGTTTATTTGTCTTTTTTTACTCCTACAGGTTGCCGATCGCGCTGCCCAAATACCTGGTGTCGCATTTTTTTTTTTTTTTGCCGTTTCCGAGTAAACTCCACGGCACGGCCGGCGCATTCGTTCATCGCGCGTCCTCCTCGCTTTCGCTGATCACACGCGTATCCAAACATTTGCTGCTTGGTTGTGCCTCGTGTCCGGCAGATCGTTTCTTGTGCTGCGGATGGGCAGGTGAGACTGACGAATCTTTCCCGCAGCACCAGCGAGCTCCTCGGGGAGCATGAGGGGCGGGCTCATCGCCTGGCCATCGAGCCGGGCTCGCCCCACCGATTCATGACTTGCGGTAAGGTTTGCGCCCGTGGCTGCGTTGGTAACGACGTCTGGTGGGAATAGAGGAAGGTAGATGGCTGTTGAATGATGTGCTGTGCACGCTCTTGCCGTTGCGAAGGCTACTATGCGTCAACTCACGAAAAGCTGTACAATGACGAGGGACATGGGAGCTTCCCCGTCATGAAGAACGACAACAAACCACAGCTACAACGACATTAATCGGCAACAACAACAACAACAACAACAACAATGATAACGACAGGGGAGGACGGAGTGGTCTTGTCCTTCGACCTGAGGGCACCCCTCGCCCGCAACATGGGCGCGACCCTGCTCAGGCAGCCCGGGGGGCGGAGCATCAGCGGCATGGCGCTCAATCCGGCGGACCCCAACGTCCTCTTCGTGTGCGGCGACTCCCCTTACCTGGACATGTTCGACGCCCGCAAGGCGGACGTTCCCGCGGCGAGGTGAGAACAGAATGTTGTACCCAGAGAGTATGGTTCTTAGTTGTAGTTATTTCTTGCTTGTCGGTGAGAAGAGAATGTTTCCCCCACAGAGTATGGTTCTTCGTAGTTCTTTTGTTGTTGGTCGGTGAGAAGAGAATGTTTTCCCCGGTATGGTTCTTAGTCATTATTTGTTGTTTGTCTGAGAAGAGAATTATTTCCCCAGAGAGTATGGTTCTGGTAGTTCTCCATTTTGGTGTTGTCGGTGAGAAGAGAGTGTTTCTCCCAGAGAGTGCTAAGTGGGAGATAGTTCTTGGCTGCTCTTGATATTGTTCTTGGTGTCGGCGAGAAAATAATGTTTTTCCGACAAGGGTAAATGAGAGTATGGCCCTCGGTAGTTTTTTGTTGTTGTCGGTGAATAGTCGGTCCTGGCGTCGGAAGGCGGGCTGGGTTTTAGCAGCCGGCGAGGGTAGCCTGTAGGTGCGATGAGGGGCGCACACGCATTAATTTTATGTGTGTGTTACGTTTGGATGTTAAGCCCCAAGTACATATGTGGCCGAAGCAGAACGGAGACAGAAGTGAGGAGTGTAAAACATTCCGATTTTCCTTGTTTTGTTTACGTTTTTTGGTGTTTCGTGTAGGTTTTTGAGAACGTGTCTGGTACAACCGAGTCGGGTGTTCTGTGTGTGTTTTTCTTCGCCAGCTTGCTCACTCCATGGCGTTTCGTATATCTTTCGCATTCCCCTTGTTTCCCTGTACCAGCTTGCAACGCTCTGCCATGCATGGACCTTCAAAAGGCGTCAACTCTCTCTCTACTAGCGGCTCAAGAGGCGGTTGTCCCCCTACGTAGTTCCAGGTTGAAGGCCCCCCAAAAACACTGGTCCCGTTGTTGTCACCGCCCATCCGACTCGGCCGTGTCTTGACATAGGTTCTGCCCGAGAAGCCGCAGGGGCTCGCGCGCGCATATCACGGGGGTTGCCGTGAATTGGTGCGGCACCGAGGTGGTGGCGACGTACAACCCTTCCGGGGAGGTTTACCTCTTCGACGTCAAGAAACATGCCTCAAGGGGCACGGGCAGCGCTCCCATGTGGTGGTGAGTGGGGGGGCGGGGGGGGGCTCAAAGTTTTTGCTGTTTTGCCCTGGAAATGACAAGAGCTGTGGTAGGGGACTCCAAATTTATGCTGCTTTGCCCTGAAAACGACAAGAGCTGTGGTAGTGCGGGGGGGGGAGATCCAAGTTTTTCCTGTTTTGCTCTTAGAAAATGGCAACCGTTGTGGTGGTAAGGGGAGGGCTCAAAGTGCGCGATGCTTGCCTTGAAAACGACAACAACTCGTATACGTAAAGCCATGAGCGAAGCTCAAACAGCATCGCAGTTGAAGCCGCCGCTCAAGGTTTCGGAGATCCTTCGTACATCACGTGCCGCGGTGTGATTGTTTCGCTAGCTGGTTCTGTTTGAGTTCGGAGGGAGGGTGTTCTTTGTTGTTGTAGGAGTTAGCGATAGCACACTGGTAAAATATCCGGTGGCCTGAAACGGCGGTGCACAAGGAAGTGTGACTCAGGGAACGGCCTCGGCGGAGGCCAATGCAGATTGGCGGATCCATCCCGCCATATACAGTCCTAGCCACCGCTCAAGAACCTGTTGTTTTCCCCCCAGGGCTCGATTTTTGCTCTCTCTCTCTGTGAGCTACCCCAACATGGAGAGCGTATCGTCCCAGCCGAATCGAATGGCCTGACCGGGCGATGGTTCTTGCTGCATACCGGAAAAGGCGAAATGCCCCGGGAATAGGGTTTGCGGCTTTTTTGTACCGTACCACGTCTTGATCCGCCTCAAAACAGTACACGTTGGATTTGGCAATCAGTGTGAGAAGTTGGGGCGAAATTCCGGGGCACATGAACGGATCTCTTTGTGCAGGCAGTACCTTCTTATTTTGTTACCTCCTAGTTAACGCGGGGAGTGTGCACGGTCTTGTTATTTCGCTTGACTGCCTCCTTTTTTGGTTTTGATACCTTGGTCTGGTAGCCTTTTCTTCTCGCATCCTATTATAGGTTTGTAGAGACGGCGCACTCGCTTTTTCGGGGGGGGGGGGCGGGGGGGGATCGAGCTGCTGGTGTTGGTGTACTCTCGTATGATTCGCCGACTCCACGTGCAGCAGTAGCTAGCTGTGTTCGCTTTCCCCTTGTCGGCCCTGGTTCGCGTTGCGTTCTGCAACAGTGTTCCCGCCGCCGGCACACGATACAACAGTAGCCTTCGTTATTTTTTATTATTATTTTTGACGTGTTGGATAAAGCATGCAATCAACCAGGGAAGCTGGGTTAGGGTTAGGGTTAGGGAAGCTGGGTTAGGGTTAGGGGTAGGGTCAAGGACACAGTCCCCCCTCCCTGTTCTATTTCCTCATTACACTTTATTTCTCGCGAAGGCTGTCCCGACACACGGGTCCCTCCCCACCCCAAGAACCGTTGGATTGTTGCCCCGGGACGCTGTCCGTCTTGCGCCGCCTGCGCATGTTGCTAGACACTCACGCGTCGTGACTACCGTTGTACGAAAGAGAGTCGCGACGTTACAATAGTGCTTGGGAGTAATTTTTAAATTTTGTGCTCCCCATTTGTTTTTGTGCTCCTTCCAGGGGTGGTGGTCCATCCGCGCGCCAACGGAGGATGGAGCGCGGCGAGCACAGCAGCGACAGCGACAGCAGCATTAGCAGCAGCAGCATCAGTCCCGAACCGCCCCGGTCTCGCCGGCGCATCAGCCCTTCCATCCGCGAAGGCCTCCTCGAGCAAGGCCAGCAGCAGCAGCAACAACGGCAGCAGGCGCAGGCGTCGAGGAGGGGGAGGGAGGAGGAGGAGGAAGAGCGGGTGCAAGACGTCGGCGGGCGAGACGAGGAGGAGGAGGAAGAGGAGGAGGAGGAGAAGGAAGAAGAGGGCGGCGGTGGTGAGGAACAGGAAGAACGTCGAGAGCCGACGTATGCGGCGAGATTCACGGGTCATCGGAACCTGCTGACCGTGAAGCAGGTGGGTGGCGGACTTGGTCAAGAGACTCCCCGGGGGGACAGATACTCTTATTACCATCAGTTGGGACACGTAAGTGAGGGTGTCGAGGGTATTTGGCTGTGTGCAATGAATTGATTGATCTTATCACTTTAGCTACCAGTCGACAGCCACGTGATTGGCGTGAGGTGACCTTGAGTGTGTCGACCCTTCTGTCTGCCTGTCTGTCCATCCGTCTGTCTGTCTGTCTGTCTGTCTGTCTGTCTCTGTCTGTCTCTGTCTGTCTCTGTCTGTTGGTTTGCCCGACTATCTGTCCCTCCCTCTCTTCCTCTCTCTCATCGTCCATCTCTGTCTGTCTCTCTCTCTCGGTCTCTCTCTCGCCCCCCCCCCCC